ACCATAATAGCAAGATCTAGGCCAGAGAGAAGCTAGCAGCCAGGAATTCCATCGGAGTCTCCACATGGGTGGCAGGAACTCAAGTACTTGAGTCATCATCCACTGCGTCCCAGGTACATTAGCCATTAGCAGGGAGCTAGATGGGATATGGAGTAGCCAAGCATCCCAAGAGGTGGCTTAACACACTGTACCACAACACTCACCCCCCAACCAGACTCTCTCTCATGAACCATTAGCTTGCTTCCTTTTTATAAAAACTATAAAACCATATTTGTGCATTTGTATGAAAATGCCTTTAAGGAAAATTCCTATAAGTCAAATTGCCAGGTCAAAGAGCGTGTACATTTTAAAATCTCATCTGTAACTGCAAACAACCTCCAAATGGACTGCCCCCTGTCCACTCTAAGTCTGCTTCTCCACACCCTTAACCCTAGATACCATGGAACTTCATCTTTGCCAACCTGATTAAGTGACAAAGGGTATACCATTGTTTTTTAAGTTTTTATTTCTTCAATTACATCAGATGTTAAGTACTTAAAACATCAGATATGCATAACTCTTCATCTGTGAACTGCCAACACATGCCCTGTGCCTGTTTTTCTGTCCTATTTTATCTTTTGTCTTTTTATTACTGGTGTATGTGTATGCCTTAGTCCCTTCTTTGCTGCTGTAGCATCATATCATTCACTGGGAAATTTCTAATGAACAGAAATGTATTTGGCTCATGGTTCTAAAGCTGGACGGCCCAAGAGCAAAGGGCTGCCTCTGGTGAGGGCCTCCCTGCTACATCCTGACTTGACAGAAAGCATTACATGGCGGGGTGGGGGGAGATATTAACTTGCTCTCCAAGCAGGAACCCACTTCCCAGGAACTAACCCACTCTGATGATAATGGCATGAATCCATTTATGAGGGCAGAGCCCTCAGGGCATGATCACTTCTTAACTGTTCCATCTCTCAACACTGTTGCATGGGGGATTAAATTTCTGACCCATGACCTTTTGGGGACACATTCCATCACACAGTCTAAGGAGGCTGGATGGCAAACTTCCCTCGTGGATACTGAGAGACAGAGCTGAAATGCAGTTCAAGAATCCCTGGGCACAGGCCGGTGCCATGGCTCACTTGGTTAATCTTCTGCCTGTAGCAACAGCATCCCGTATGGGTGCCAGGTTCTAGTCCTGGTTGCTCCTCTTCCAGTACAGCTCTCTGCTGTGGCCCAAGTGCTTGGGCCCCTGCACCCGCATGGGAGACCAGGAAGAAGCACCTGGCTCCTGGCTTCGGATCGGCGCAGCAATGGCCATAGTGGCCATTTGGGGAGCAAACCAATGGAAGGAAGACCTTTCTCTCTGTCTCTCTCTCACACTGTCTGTAACTCTACCCATCAAATAAAATAAATAGATAAATAAATAAATAAAAATGTATTTAAAAAAAAAGAATCCCTGGGCACTGACTCTGCTTTCTCATTACAGAAAAAAAAAAAAAATAAGCCTATGGCTATTGATTTTGGCTCAAAAACCAGAAGGAGTGGTGTTGATAATCACCCCTCCAGAGGACAAGTTCCTCCAGACGGGTGGCATCAAGCCCTAGCAGGAAAAGCTGGTGGTGGAGACAAACCGCAGCTGGCACTGGGCTGTTGTCTCTGCACTGTGGTGACCTTACATGAGAGGGTCAAGGGTCACCACGCAGGCTGAACCCAGGAAAAGCTGCACCATGACGCTCATGCACGCCTGCTGTGAGGAAACACCTCGTTTTCATATGTGTTTAACTTCCTGACTAAACAAGAGCATCTACAAGTATGTGCACATGGGCACGTGTGTGAGTGTGTGTGCACGCGTGCAATTCTTACCTGCTCAGCAATTTTAAAGCAATGTGTTCATTACAGAAATTAAAAAGCAATCTTTAATTTTTCTCAGGTATGACAAGTACTTTTCCTGTTTCATATTTTTACATTTTGTTTTGATCTGGTTTTATTTGTATTTTTGGTTCTACTCTATAGGACATTTAACTTTTATGTTTCCAAATTAATCAATCTCTTACTATGGATTCTCATTTTGTGTCATGTTTAGAAAGATCTTCCTCATTAAAATTTATACAAATAATACATCTGGTTTTTTTCTGGAACTTTCATGGTTTCATTTTTTGAAATTTTAAAATCTTTGAAGTTCTAAATCTTGTGGTAAAGTGTTCTTTCAGTATTAAGAAATCATCACTCATCCAGTTCTATTTCTAAAGTATTAAATAATCAAATAATCAAATGGGCTCAATAGGCATCCTTTATCACATCCTAAATTTTCATATGTATGAACATATGTCAACTCTACTTCGCTCCTTTAACTTATTCCTGCATCAGAATTACTTAAATTATACTAACTCTAGAATAGGCTTTATTAATGTGATTTAAAATAACACCTTCCGGAATATAAATGTCATCCCAAGTATATAATAAGCTGGTATCACTGAATTGATCTTTACAGCGGTTATTTTTACCCAATTCACAAAACACTAACTATAAGTAGATTTTCAGTTACTTAAAATAAGGTTGGAAGTAATTTAAGGAAGTGAATGTTGCAGTGGTTCTCAGTCTGCTACGCTCAGAAACACCTAGTGAGCTCACTGAAAGTACAAACACAGAGAGAGCATTTGACAAAGCAGTTAAGAGACCGCTTGTGAGTGCCTGGGTTCGAGTCTCGACTCAACTTCCAATCCAACTTCCTGCTAATGTGTATCCTGGAAGGCAGCAGATGACGACTCAAATAGTTGAGTTCATGACACCCCTAAGTGAGGCCAGATGGAGTTCCTGCCTCCTGGATCCTGGCCCAGCACCAGCTGTTTCTTTCTCTCTCTCTCTCTCTCTCTCTCTCTCTCTCTCCCCTTGCCTTTCAAAGAAATATTTAAAACACACACACACATACACACAAATGCTTGAGTCCCAGCTTCTAGGACTCCTGGTTCAGGAGGAAGAAGATGGGTTATATTTCTTCTTCTTCTTCTTCTTATTTTTGTTTTTGTTTTTGTTTAAAGATTTATTTTATTTGAAAGCCAGGGTGGGGAGCCAGTGCCATGGTGCAGTAGGTAATCTCTGCTGTGGCCTGGGAAAGCAGTGGAGGATGGCCCAGGTGCTTGGGCCCCTGTACCCACATGGGAGACCAGGAAGAAGCTCCTGGCTCCTGGCTTCAGATTGGCACAGCTCCGGCTGTTGCAACCATTTGGGGAGTGAACCAACAGAGGGAGGACCTTTCTCTCTGTCTCTCTATCTCATTGTCTGTGGCTCTACATCTCAAATAAATGAAATCTTTAAAAAGAAAGAAAGAAAGAAACAAAGAAAGCAAGCAAGCAAGCCAAGGTTACAGAGAGAGAGGGAGAGAAGCAGAGAGAGAGCTTCCATTCCCTGGTTCACTCCCCAGAGGGTCACAATGGCAGGGTTGGGCCAGGCCAATGCCAGGAGCCAGGAGCTTCTTCGGGGTCTCCAACACGGTGTCGGGGCCGAAGTACTGGGGCCATCCTCTGTTGCTTTTCCCAGGCTGTGAGCAGGGAGCTGGCTCAGAAGTGGAGCAGCCGGGACATAAACTGGCACCCATATGTGATGCTGTTGTTGCAGGCAGCAGCTTAACCTGCCAAGCCACACTGCTGCCCCTGGATTGTAAATTCTTATACACTCCCATGGTGATTTCCATACACAATAAAGTTCCAGGGCCACTAGGATAACATTTCCAGAGAAAGGTCTCTAACTTCAAACACCTTTCAACAACAAACAGATAAAATAAAGATCTACCTTTCAAACAAAATGCTTTAAGAAAAATTAAAATTACTACCAAAGAAATTTACTGAGGATAAGTCATTTTAAATAAATGTCCATACAAAAGAAGCAATGAACCACAGGCAGAACAACATGTTCATTTCAAAATACAAAACATTAAGAAGATACAATACCAAAATGAAAGCCATAAGTAAACAGCAGAGAACAAAAAGGAAAAGAATCTCCCCAGAGAAAAGTATGATGTACACAACAAAAATCCCTAAAGACATCCACGGCGTAGGCTGGGATGCTAAGGAACAAACTTCACTAATTAACTCTAAATCCACAGTCACACAAAGAGTAAAAGAGTATGTCAGAAACCTGACTCGGCATGGTAAGCTGGCATAAGGGAAATCCAAAGGGAATACTGTATCCAACTGTTTCAAGCCTGTGCTTAGTTCTTGATCACCCTATCTGCGCAGGACAGACTTGCACTGTGCCTACAACCAGGTGCTCTCCTCTCCACTTCCTTCTTCCTTTAGGTACAAATCAGTGTAGAGCAGGAGAGGATGGCAGCTCCAGAGCTAGTCCACACCCCAGGCACAGCAACAGTGACCAACACGGAGGCCTGGAAGGAATTCTTCTGACCAGCAACTAACGCAGTAGCAGCTACTGCATCAAAGATGCCACAGCTGGGGCGTGGGGGCGTAGCGGGTAAAGCCTCCCCCTGTGATGCAGGTATCCCCCGTGTGCACAGCTGGGGCGTGGGGGCGTAGCGGGTAAAGCCTCCCCCTGTGATGCAGGTATCCCCCGTGTGCACAGTGGGGGCGTGGGGGCATAGCGGGTAAAGCCTCCCCCTGTGATGCCGGTATCCCCTGTGTACACCAGTTCATGTCCCAGCTGCTCCACTTCCAATCATGCTAACGGCCTGGGAAAAGCAGCGGAAGGCAGCCCAAATGCCTGGGCCCCTGCCACCGACATGGAAGACCCAAATGAAGCTCCTGGCTATCAACAAAGAGGAAATAATTTAAATCTCTATCTTAGGCTGTTCTCTATACTCTCCTGTATTTGAATAATTCCCAATAAAAGCTTAGTTTGGCCAAACGCATACACAAAAACCTCTTATTCTACAGATAAACCACGGGCTAACAATAATAATTTTATACTTTGCTTTCTTTGCTAGGACCTCACGGGACTATGAGCTCTCTTAAGTGTATGTAATCTCAACTCTACATCAGCTTTTAAAATAATATGAATGTTACCTCATAGATCCTGGCAATTCCACAAAGCAGAGTTACTTCTCCTGGAAACTTATCCAAGCCTTGTTTGAAAAGATTTAAAGCAGTCACAGGTTGATCCAATGCAATGTAAACCTGAAAAGCAAGATATATTTCAATAAAAGTATCAGTTATTAAAATGACAGCATTTGGTATGATTACTGATTAGGAACAAATTATCTCTCAGACAGGACAGCAAAAAAGAAATTTCAGAAATGTGAGGCTGCATTTCCAGTAATGACCTTATAGTTTCATATAAACCTATTTATAGTATTTATTGCTCAAGTATAAGATTAGAGGGATAGGTATGGGTGAAAGCTTGCACTTTTTACCTTATAAATTTCTGGATAGTTTTTAAAAATATAATAAATAATACAGTTAGCATACCAACATAAAACATTTAATAAATTTAATTAATAATTAAAAAGCTTTAACAAAAAAAAAGTTCCTAAAAATCCATGTATCTCTTTTGTACAGCAACCATCCCTCAATGTATTATAGGAAGCAACTGAATTGTACCTCTATATAATCATGTAGGGAATAATGAATTTAAATAAATTGGTTTATTGAAAAATAAATGAAACCATGTGTTTAATAATAGTTAAAGTAAGAAGCACACTTTTTTCAACCACATGTCAAATATTATCAATTAAGAAGATGGCAGTCAAATAGTACGACCTGAGTCTGAATTTCAAGTCTCCCCTTCAGAGAAGTCTACTGTGATGCTAGAAAGTTCTACAAGAATTTAAGGTCAATATATAATAGGTAGAATGCAAACTTAGATATCAGACAATTTCAAAGCTTTTTCAAAACCCACTGTAAACATACTAAGATTTGCACAGTAACTTTCTATAGTATAACTTTCATTTTACTGGTGGGCTAACTTTTATTAGCACATCTAGAAACTAGCAGCACTTCCCTTAATATCGCATTTTCTTGTGACTATCACATTTTTAAATTTTAAAAACCCCTAGGGGTGGATAGCCCGCATAGCAGTGAAGACACCACTTGGGACATCTGCACTCCAAATCAGAGTGCCTGAGTTTGAGACCCATATCGCCATCAATTCCAGCTTGCTGCTAAAGCAGATGCTGAGAGACAGGGGGTGGAAGGCTTAGGGAGGTCCCTGCCACCCACATGGGTGACCTAGACTGAGTTCTTGGCTCTTGGATTCAACCCGGGGCAGCCCCAGCTGCTGCAGGCATCTAGAGTGAACCAGCAAATGGGAGTGTGAACTTGCTTGCTCTCTCTCTTCCTTTCAAGTAAAATGAAAATAAAGAAAAAAATTTAATTAAAATAAAAACATCCTAAAGATATAGTGAGCTGATGCCAAAACAATACTTCATCAAATGGTTTTCTTCCAAAAGCAGCCTGTGAATGGGTCAAGAAATAACTTTACCCCAGTATAGAGACGTCTAAGCGGCTCCTTCACTCCTGCTGTGTCTGCGGGTGGCTCTGTGTGTAGCAGTGACGGGGCTCTGGGAGTCTCAAAGACCTTGGTTTGAATGCGGGCTCCTAACAGCCAAGTGACCCTGAAAAACTTCCCAGCTTTGTTAAGCCTCATCTTCCAGAAGAGTACAGAGGAAAGATAAAGCCTCCGCGCAGGTCTACTGTGCGGGCTGACTGAAACTGCCTGTAAAACGGACCTGCCCGATGCCCTACACTGGTTGGTGCTCGAGAAGAGAGAGCATTACTGCTGCTGTTACTCAGAGCGGAGGAACCGAGGACCTAGAGCAAGCGTCCCTGATGTCTGCAACCTGTGCAAGTGGGAGACGGGTGTGGTGTGGAAGAGAAGGCCTCTGGGGCCCGCCACCTAACCAGGTAGTGAGCCTAGGGGGCGTCTTCCTGTCCTACTGGGCAACCGTGTAGAGCGGACTCATGTTTCTGTGGCAGTCAGTTCCTCCTGAGACGGTTACCCTCCATGTCTTCTCACTTCTCTTGCTATGGAGAGAACTAAGTCAGATCTGAAGGTAACAACTTGCCAGATACTCCTGAAGAAACTGGTACCTGTCCATGGCCAGAATGTAAACACTGATCCTGAGAAGACAGAGTTCACTCAGACTAATTCTTACTTACTTTTGCCAAGTAGAGAAATGTATCCACCATTTCCTGCTGCTTCAGGGCTGATTTAAACTGCTTTTCTGCTTCTCGATACATTCCTAATCTAAGAACAGCATTAAACAAATTAGACATTCAACTTAAAAATAAATACCCTTCGGTTTTTTTCATTCCCCAAGGACAGGGATGGAGACAAATTATATCTGCCAGAGAAAGCGTAAACCAAAGAAGGTAATCTTGTACGTATATTAATATGATATACAGTTTAGCAAAAAAGTTGCCTTTGTCCCCTATTCACCGGCTACCTAACTCTGAAATGACGTGGAAGGAGTCCATTCCAAGCCTGGTCACCACATGACTAAAAGCTGCCAGTAAGCCAGGTCACATCAGTTCACCAGCCAAAGAGCTTATGATCAGCTAGACATATGGCAAGTGACCTGAATAAATGCTTAGAATCCCCATTTGACTGGAAGAACTGACAAATGACATTTCTTTGAAAACAGTCTCTGCTCTGAGACAAAGGCCCATTTCTTAAGGTTACCCTTACACCTGTTCTAAAAATCTTTTTTCTGTTGTTTTTTTTCCCCTAGATATCTGATACTGATTTTCTAGCCTAGAATCTGAGATTTGCTTTCTTCCTAAGTACAAGTGTCCCAAAGTCGGTGCCCACATCTTCTGCCCAGAAAACATTTTGTTACCACTAAATCAATTACTAAAGTACACCCAGTTTTTATTCAGCCTGTCCTTAATTTGAAAATTTCTCATAACTACTCATTCCTAGTCATCTAAGAGCTAAGAGCTCAGGGATGACAATGTTGTATTTTATGAAATAAAATCAGGATAATATACAATGTGTCCCATTGTGCAAGTTTCCTTAAAAGGTTTAAAAGAACAGCTTTATTCACTTTTCAAAGACTAAACTTCAACCATTAATGTGATTTGGACCCAAACAGCTGTTGAAAGGCTTGAAGCTAAAGCGATTAAGGTGACTCGCAGACTAGCCTGAAGTTAGAAGATGTGTGATATGCTACAAGTCCCTATCTCTCAGAGGTCTCACAAATTTCACAAGGAGCACTTATAAAAAAATGTTATCAAAGAACTCTCAGATTCTGAAAAACAATGTATTTATGTACACATCAACTTAGCATGCAAGTCTTAAACATGTGACTTAAGAAGTACAGTCACTGAGTTCCATGAATGTTAAGTACCCATGAAAAGTCTCTATGAGGGTACCTGAAAAAGTCCAAGGAAAATGGAATTAAAAGAGAAGTTTATTTTGGTGCCACAAAATTGAAATCCACGCATAGCTGTAAACTGCAGTAAACAGATGACACTAAAAGCCAGAACTGGGGCACTGGGATGGGAATGGGTAGAAAGGGAGCAACTCTGCCAGTCACCACAAAGGCAGGGTCAGCGGTACTTAACGATCAAGGAGCAAAGGCACAAAGCGAACTTGGGGCCGCATCCTCTGGTAACATAGCCTTGACCTTGCTAGCTGAAGTAAGCAGCTCTTTCTTTGGCTCCCACTTAACACCCTATGTGTGCTTCCATCATAATGGAAATCATGCTAATAATTATTTATGGTCCTCTCTCCCCCATTCTATTGTAAACTGTTGAAAGAAAGGACAATCTAATATAACTTTTATAACCTCAGTGCTTGGCAGAGTAGCTGCTCATTAAATATTTTACTAAGGGGATGGACGGATGGATGGATGGATGGATACTGAATACATAATAAAAATGAGCAGCAGAATAATTTAAAAGGATAAGAAGCAGTGATTAAATGCCATCATATAGAGGTGGCAGAAGGAATCAGTCAATGCGTTCCTTTATTAAAGATTTCTGAAGATTTTGCTTATTAAGCACCTGATTTCAATAGTGTCTTCAAGAACTATATTCATGAATTTAATGAGTTTAATGTTATAGTAGTCCAAAATTACTCTTAGTAGAAAAACACAACCTCAATTTGGCAATACTTTGGAGTTCTATGCAAAATATCTAAATTGAAGGTAGTCTTTCTTTTTTTTTTTTTTTAAAGATTTATTTTATTTGAAAGACAGAGTTACAGAGAGAGGTAGAGGCAGAGAGAGAGGTCTTCCATCCACTGTTCACTCCCCAGATGGCCACAATGTCCGGATCTGTGCTGATCCAAAGCCAGGAGCCAGGAACCTCCTCTGGGTCTCCCACGCAGGTGCAGGGCCCAGGGACTTAGGTCATCTTCCACTGCTATCCCAGGCCACAGCAGAGAGCTGGAGGAGCAGCCAGGACTAGAACCAGCGCCCATATGGGATGCTGGCGCTTTAGGCCAGGGCTTTAACCTGCTACACCACAGCACCGGCCCCCAGCAGTCTCACTTTCAACAGCAGAATAAATATCCTTTTCATCCCATTTATATTCTTCTTCAGTGTTTGAATGACAAGTTTCTAAATACTGAAAGGTGCTGATGGTAACCAAAGTTTACCTTGTTTGTGAGATTACAAGACATATTTGATTAACAAGACATACTTACCTTTATAAAATGTAATTGCTCATTTGTCTGTTTTTCTAAATGCCATATATGCACCTCAATTTCAGCAACAGGTTTCAGATCATATTTACTAGTTGCTATAAAAATAGTCATAAAATTAGGGGCCGGGGGCCAGCGCTGTGGTGTACCAGGTAAAGCTGCTGCCTGCAGTGCTGGCATCCCATTCAGGTGCTGGTTTGAGATCTGGCTGCTCCACTTCCGATCCAGCTCTCTGCTATGGCCTAGGAAAGGAGTAAAAGATGAACCAAATGCTTGGGTCCCAGCACCCCTATGGAAGATTGGAAGAAGCTCCTGGCTCCTGGCTTTGGATCGCCTCAGCTCCAGAAGTTGAGGCCATTTGGAGTGAACCAGTGGATGGAAGATCTCTCCCTCTGCCTCTATCTCTCTGTAACTCTTTCAGATAAATAAATAAATAAATAAATAAATAAATAAATAAATAAAAAAAAATTAGGGGCCAGCACTGTGGCATAGCAAGTAAAACCACCACCTGCAACACTAGCATCCCATGTGGGCACCATGGCATGCAAGTCCTGGATGCTCCACTTCCACTCCAGCTCCTTGCTAATGCACCCAGGAAAGCATGGAAGATGGCCCAAGTGCTTGGGCCCCTGCATCCGTGTGGGAGACCTGGAAGAAGCTCCTGGCTCCTGACTTTGGACTGGCACAGATCTGGCTGTTTTGGCCATTTGAGGAGTGAAAACAGGGGATGGAAGATCTCTCTCTCTCTCCCTCCCTCCCTCCCTCCCTCTGTTTGTCTAATTTCTGCTCTTCAAATAAATTTTTTTAAATTCATAAAATTAATGCTACTTTTCTTATCTCTGTTAATTTGCTTTAAAATGTGTTTAAACATTAGTGAATGTTAAGAACACCCAAGTCCTGGAGAACAATACAGGAATGTGTGAGTAGTAAAACCAGAAACGCATCAGAAAGTGGAGTTCAAGCTCTTGCATGCCACTATTTTTCTGAGGCTCAACTTCTCTCCTCTGGGAGAAAGGCTAATAGCAACTACCTCTGAGGAGCCGTGAGACGAATGTGAGGTGAGGTGATGCACGGACAAACTAGTGCTCACTGTCAGGTGCTTTACAGATGTAAGGCGTCAGTATCAATAAAAAGGCCTGCGAGTCAAGAGGACACAGACCAGGAATTGCAGACTTGTCCTGGTCCCAGGTCTGTTACTAACTGCTGCTAATGCACAGCACAGCTACTCTTTGGCCTCAGCTTCCTCATCTGAGAAGGGGAGCTGGATCTGATGGCCTCGAAGCACCACCCTCCCAGCTCGAAACTTTATTATCCAGTTTTGTTGCTATCATGTGGTCATTAAGCAAATATTTTCTCAAGTAAGCCAAAGCCACAGTTCTCATTTTTTCATGAGCAAAAAAGAGAATGGATTTGAGATTTAAAAATATACCGCTTCTAAGCCTTTCAACAATTAAAATTTTACCTGTAGTAACACTTTCCAATCTGCACTTTCCACCACCAGTCCTTGTACTGAGAATGCTCTGTGGAAAGGGCGGCCAGATCCAAAGCCTTTGAAAACAATTCAGCTTAGATTAGGATTTTCTTTTCTAACAATTAACACTCAGCAAGAGTAATAATGAAATAAACCATATATTTAGCATCAATCAAAACACGCACTAGAAATCAGACAGAACAAACTCAAGTTGCTCGTGTTCTCAGGTGGCCCCACCAATTTCCCCTAAATAATCAGTTCCAGACGAGAGGACTAACAACGGATGAGACAGAACACTGCTCAAAATAAAGCAGATGTATAATACACATGTATACAATTTTAATACACAATGCAGGATTGACATTTTAAAATTCTTAGATTTGTACCCTCTCCACACTATTTATCTGCTGTTTAATGGTTCAACATGGCTCCAAACTCAGTGGCAGTCAAGCCTTTGTTTATGGCATGTCCAATTGCAGATCCCACTTTAAAGACAGAAGTAGGGGGGCCGGGGCCATGGCTCACTTGGTTAATCCTCCACCTGCGGTGCTGGCATCTCATATGGGCACCGGGTTCTAGTCCCGGTTGCTCCTCTTCCAGTCCAGCTCTCTGCTGTGGCCTGGGAAGGCAGTGGAGGATGGCCCAAGTGCTTGGGCCCTGCACCTGCATGGGAGACCAGGAAGAAGCACCTGGCTCTTGGCTCTGGATAGGCACAGTGCCGGCCGTAGCGGCCATTTGGAGAGTGAACCAGTAGAAGGAAGACCTTTCTCTCTGTCTCTCTCTCTCACTGTCTATAACTCTACCTGTCAAATAAATTTAAAAAAAAAAAAAAAAAAAAAACCAGAAGTAGGGACGGGCAGTGGACCTGGTGGTTAAGAAGCTGGTTAGAATGCCTGTGTCCCATATTACAGCACCTTGGTCCAATACCTTTACTCCAGCTCCTGACTCCTCTTTCCTGTTAGTGGGGACCCTGGGAGGCAGTGGCAATGGCTGGAGTGATTGGGTTTCCTGCCACCCACACGGGAGGCCTGGGGTGAGTTCCTGGCTCCTAGCTTCAGCTGCATCCATTTGGGGAGTGAACTAGTGGATGGAAACTCTGTCTGTCTTTCTCGCTGCTTCTCAAATAGCTACATCTTTTTTTTTTTAAAGATTTATTTATTTATTTATTTGAAAGGCAAAGTTACAGGGAGGCAGAGGCAGAGAGAGGTATTCCATCTGCTGGTTCACTCTCCAAACGGCCGTGACAGCTGGAGCTGCACTGATCCAAAGCCAGGAGCCAGGAGCTTCCTCCAGCTCTCCCACGTGGGCGCAGGACTTGGGCCATCTTCTGCTGTTATCCCAGGCCATAGCAGAGAGCTGGATCAGAAGTGGAGCAACCGAGACTCAAACCAGTGCCCAAATGGGATGCTGGCACTGCAGGCAGTGGCTTTACCTGCTATGCCACAGCACCAGCCCCATAAATCATTTTTAAGAAAAATAAATAAGACAAGTTTTGAGAAATAGAGAAGGGTCAAATAAGCACACAGGAAAAAGAAAATGAGACTGTGAGGAATGCAAGGAGTCGCGGTTATTTGGGTAGCTGCTCTCCTCAACAATCACCATTCCATTACCCTGACATCACCTAATACTTGCTGCAGACTGAAAAAGATCTCTTTAAATTGCTTTCATATTTCACATCTGTTTATCCTGTATCTTTTACCATCTTCTAGTTTGTTCCTTCTAGTGTTTACTTAAGATCAAATAAGAGATGACTAAATAGGAATTAGTGTTATATACCGAGGAAGTGGAAATTCTTTTGATAAAGGTAAAAGCAAATCAATCTTTATACAAATTCAAAGTTCCCAAGGTCAGGCAATTGGCCTAACAGCCTGTCACTTGGGATGCCCGCATATCATACTGGATGTGTGTGTCCAAGTCTCAGTTCTACTTTTTTTTTTGACAGGCAGAGTTAGTGAGAGAGAGAGACAGAGAGAAAGGTCTTCCTTTTTCCATTGGTTCACCCCCCAATGGCTGTTGCGGCCGGTGTGCCGCGCTGATCCGAAGCCAGGAGCCAGGTGCTCCTCTTGGTCTCCCATACAGGTGCAGGGCCCAAGGACATGGGCTATCCTCCACTGCCTTCCCAGGCCACAGCAGAGAGCTGGATTGGAAGAGGAGCAACTGGGACAGAATCCGGCACCCTGACCAGGACTAGAACCCAGGGTGCCAGCGCCGCTAGGTGGAGGATTAGCCTATTGTGGCGAGGCGCCGGCCCTCAGCTCTACTTTCAATTCCAGCTTTCAGCTAATGTGCACCCTAGGAGGCAGCAGCTGATGCTTCAAATACGTGAGTTTCTGCCACCCACATGGGAGACCCGGGTTAAGTTCCTAGTTCCGGGCTTTGGCCTAGCTTGTCTGTTGCAGGTACTTGGGGAGTGAAACAGCAGATGGGAGATCTCTGTGTTATCTCTCTCTCCTTCTCTCTTTTTTGTCTCTCTCTCTCTTCTGATCAAATAAATAGAAATCAATTAATTAATTTTTAAAAAATAAGTTTGAAGCTCCTTTAAAGATCTGGTGACTAGAAGATGGGATTATTAAAGAGAATTCTTATTGCTTATAATACTTATTATTCCTTCTCTCAAAGTTGAAAAATCTTCATTCTTTCGCCAATGTTAACTTAACCATGATGTCCAACAGCTCAGTTAAAGTAACTCTTGGATTGTCAGTTCTATTATCTCAAAATGTATCCCACATTACTGTCCACTTCTCTTTTCTGAAAAGAATGCCAGAAGAATCACTTGGATCTCCTGCTGCAAAATTAATTACCTTTCCTGGTGTTCCCCATCTTCTCTTGCTCCAGGGGACACCTCTAAATATGCAAACCTCTTGAAAGATTGGTGTCACCATGCTGAGCCTCTAATGGACTTGAAAAATCAACATCTCTACTTGAAAGCTATGGAAATTAAAAACAAGCCACATTCTACTCTCACATGCTTATTTTTCTTTTTTCCCCTCCAGCCAGAAGTAAAAATGAAAGCAAAAAATAAAGGGAAACATAGAACTTCAATTACTATTCTCTCTGGAAGTGCTAGGAAAATATATTTTTCAATCAGCTTAACTCAGGCAGGCATTGTAAATACCTGAACTTATCAGTTTTAACTAAATCTTTATAAAGACCTTTCCCAGAAATTAGATCATATTCACTCTCGTGTTTGATATAAATAAAGCCTCTGCTTTTTAGAAAAAAAAAATCCAAAATGTTTTAAATATTCTAACTGCCCAAGGAAAGGTGTAGTGCTTATTAGAGGCTGCTGACTTTGGCTTCAGATATGATCCCGAAACAAGTTTTCTTATGAAGGATCCACATGTTTGTGCTAAGCCACTTAAGGAAATGATTGTGAATTATTGATACAGAATTAACTGTGACAATTTCAAATGGATCCTGAGCTTCCAAGCCCTGACACCCTCCTCTTACATCTCCATGATTGTGGAATGTTGTGCTCAGAGAGGCACTCAAACCTTCTTCTTCTTCTTCTTTTTTTAAGATTTATTTATTTATTTGAAAGGCAGAGTTACATAGAGAGAGAAGGAGAAACAATGAGATAGATCTTCCATCTGCTGTTTCACTCCCCAATGGCTGCAATGGTAGTGGCTGGGCCAGGCTGAAGCCAGGAGCCAGGAGCTTCTTCTGGGTCTCACACGTGGGTGCAGGGGCTCAAGCACTGGGGCCATCCTCCACTGCTTTCCCAGGCACACTAGCAGGGAGCTGGATCAGAAGCAGAGCAGCCAGGACTCAAGCTGATTTCCATATGGATGCCAGCACTACAGATGGCAGCTTAACCCGCTGCGCCACAGTGCCACAGTGAATTTTAGCTTCTGTTTCTGATATATGTTGAAAATTTCTTAAGAACTAAATAAAACTATCATAGTAGTAAGATCCAAAACTAGAAACCACTAACATTTTTAGAAATTAAAGTGGTGATGGAAGATCTGTATTTATTTAAAGTCTCTCCCAATTTTTTAAAACAAATGACTATATCCTTATTTTTAAGGATCTTTGAGTAATTTAATAAAACCAACATCTGGCTATTAGGAAAGGCCCAGAATGTAATTTTTTAAGGTCATAAGTTATAGAAATCCAAAAGCAAAAAGAACTTTGGCAAGACTTAGATAGCATAAGGCCTGTGAATATGTCCAACCTCTGAAAGTTGTAAACAACAATCATCCTTCCACTATTGTTATAGTTGTGACTACCTCAGGGTGATGAAACTGAAGAGCATATGGAAATAAAGATTCCAAAATCACCAACCCACACGCTACTTCAGCTTTGTCGATGTTGCCAATATTGTCCACAAAGAGAGGGGTAGGAAAAGGGAATTATTCAAAAGCTCCAAAGCATAAATACAGCATCCATAGTTCAAGTTTATTCTCTTAACATTTAAATATTAGTTCAAAGTGTTCCCTATGTTTATAACATTTTATTTGTGTACAAATACAGAGTCACCAGCCTACACGCCACTTTAGTTTCATCAATACTGACCGACCTAAATGAGAAAGTATTAAGAACTCAAAAGATAGAAACACAGTTTTCCATGCTACTTTAGTACATTAAAAATACATACTTTATAAGCAAATGGAGATAAATTTGAAATCACAGAATATTCAAATGACCTTTCAAAATCCATACAATGTGTTCTGAGACTTTTGGTGACTAATATCATGCTTCTACAATCATTGAACCACGTGGTTTTAAATCAGATGTAGATGTTAGTACCACACTTAAGCTTAACTTCTGCATAGTTCATAATTTTTAAAGTGTATACTTAATATTTTGCATGTTATTGTCCTTTCTTCCATTCTTACCAGGATATGCCCATTTGCAAAACAAAAATGCTACTAATCAGTAATAGGCCTATAAAATGTTAGCTTTGTTTAGAATTGACTGATATTGCTCTTACCTTTGGATTTGGTGATTATTGACCTCTGTTGCATTTATTCTTTTTTTTTTTTTTTTTTGACAGGCAGAGTTAGACAGTGAGAGACAGGGAGAAAGGTCTTCCTTCTGTTGGTTCACCTCCCAAATGTCCACCACGGCTGGTGCA